TCTGAACTTAAGCTGCCTTTTTTGAATGACATTTGACATTGGAATATGGCGAGGTCAAACACGCAGGTCCAAATAATCCAAAAGGTGTGCATTGGAAATTATATCAGGCCTTTTGGCAGGCCAATCGTAAATGAATACTATGCTATTCGCCCGAGTACATTCTCAGTATCCCTAGTTGTATGGCTTGAAGCATTATCAGTAGTGATACTGGTATTATTGTGAAACAGTTGGATAATAACCTGCCTTGCAGGAATTTGATCTCAGCGTATGGCATTTAAATAACGACGAGATAAACGCAAGAGCCATGTGCAATGTCTGACCAGACCAAGACAGAAACACCGACAAGAAAACGATCTTGTTCAAGTAGGCAGCAGTCGGCTTATTTCTCCTACTGAATACTTGAACGATACCATTAGCCCGATTAATAGAAAGCATCGACACGCCAATTATTGTCTAAGCCAGTGGTTATGTGTACGTGCCCAATTAACACGTTGTATGAGATGACATCGGTTCTAAACACAACCAATGTATGGTTGCGTCTAGTTTGGACAGACATACCGGGAGTATACTCAGCAGAAGCTGTTGCAGTTTGGAAGCGATTGCCCAGAAGGTTATTCCGAATAAAGCGGTCTTTGGCCCGCGTCGTGATGTGCGGACTTCCACTAGTGGTCGATCTTCTGTGTGCCTTGCTGCTTGAAAACGTTGCCTATGGTGTCAAATACCACGAGCAGAACATCTAATATTTATAGCGGCGGTATTCATTGCATTCGAGCAGTAGGCTTTAAAACGAGTTAAATCGATTAGATCGTCCGAATATATGTAGTTCATTTGACATTTTGATTTGAACTTATCTCCGCATAGACACATGTGATTCATTTTTTTCTGTATATATATTGAATTAAGATAATCTTTCCGTAAAGACTGTTATTTTGTTACATCAGCATTCAAGTGTTTTGTAATATTTCATACTAAATTAAATTGTAATTGTTTTATTGGTCTTGAAGGACAAAGAGATGATGAACACATCATAATGAGGTTATTGTTTGATACGAGGAGCCTCTGTATGAGCAACTCAACATATTTCTAGTTGTTAAAAACTTTACAAAATTCAGGTTAAAAAAGTATTTTAAATGTGCGTCTCGTTATATTATATTCAATTAATTCCCTTTTTCAATACAAAAAGAGTAAAAAAGAGAAAAACGGAATTGCTTTAAGAAAACAATAACGACAAATTTAATATGTTGCAAGCTCGGTTTGGTGGAGCCAGTTAATGGGAGGATATTTTATCAAATTGACATAAGACATAATATATTTCTATAATATTGTCGCTATGGGCTAGGTTATATGCTTGTATTTGTAATTTTTAACAGAATTTAATCAGCAGCACAATGCTAATTCTGTTTACAAAAAAAGAAAAAAGAAATTATGCGATTGATGTTTAAGGCAATAGGATAAACGACAAAATCTCATCTTAAGAGATGTAAACATATGTATTTATATAATTAGCACTTTTGCATCATGGGTATCATAATTACTGAAACCTTGTGCTCCCCAATATTAAAATAGATTCAAACCCTTAAATAGGCTTAAATACGTTAAAAGTTATCAAACGTTTAAATTTGCGTGAGAAATATGTTTTCAGCAACCACATTTAACAAAGAATCATTAAAAATACATTTGATATTTGATTAAAAAAGGATCATTAACAGATATCATTGTAATATGCATATTAATGTCATTTCGTTGTTTTTCCTAAAAAAACGTTGTCTCTTAAATTTAAACGTTAATGGTATCAATTTATGTATCTATTCATAAATTTAAGTTTGCTAATAATATGTAACTCAGTGCTGCATTTTATACAAATATTTTATCGTCCATATTTGTCAAGGCCATATAAAGTATAACGAATCAAAAGGATACTAGGTAATTTTGTAAACAAGGCGATTCACTATGACATCTTATATGGTGCATTTATATTCATTAAATGCATACTTATGTAAATTTATTAAGCAAGTGGATACCTAAGGTAACGTTCTTATTCTGATTATTACCCTATTTAATTTCACATTTCAAGACACTACAAAGCTCTACAAAGTTAAGAAACCTCATACTAACCCAGACCCGACGATTTCTTGAAGTTATATTAGATTTTATATATAGTAAGGTTATAAAATGTTTTTATTGCCACATCAGCGTTGTTAGTGCCGTGTTGAAGCCGCAAAAGCCGCCCCGTATTTTCAATCAGGGATATTATATTTCTTGTTGTAGAGATGTCTGTAAACGTAATGTAGTTCTTTAACGAATAAATGATAATAAATTCTCTTATTTTAACTCATTAAGAATCATATTTGAAAATAGCAATTTAAAATAAAGCAACGTCTTTTTTCTCTCTATTAACTATAACGACATACTGACCATTTTATTTGTGTATCTACTGACAAACTAACTTTTTGTAGAGATGTCTATAAACGTAATGTAGTTCTTTATCGAATAAATGATTATTATAGTATATCAATGAAATACAAAGTAAATTAAGTTTGATACAAATGAGCTGATATTATAGTATACTATTAATTCGAAACTCTTATTATATTCATTATGGAACATAGTTGATATTGTATATAATGTCTTATCATTCATTTTTCCATGCAATAATGAAGAGGAAAAAAAACAGGTTAACCTTGATATTACCGAAAGTCTATGTGATAAATTGGGTTGAAGATTGTGCTTTTATTAAGTTTCTGTATAAAAGGGCTATATGTTGACTTGGCTTTAAGGAATTTAAATAGTATTCTCCATGCGGCATAGAAATATATATACACATATCACTTTTAAATTAATTAGACATATCAGTCGTAGCTTAAGTTTTGAATTCAAAGATACTTTGAAAACATCATTTTATCAATTTAAAAAAAAGCAACGTCTTTTTTCTCTCATCAGCGTTGTTTGTGTCGTGTGGAGGCCGCAACATGTTTCCCCGTATATCATCCAATCAGGGATGTTATATTTCCAACCCTTAAAGATTGTTCAGCACGACAATATTGTTTGCGTGTTTTAAATATTTTTAGTCGTTTCTATTCGGCTATTTTTAGTTGGATGGTACCAGTATTCCTAATTTGAATTTTGGAAGATCAACCTTAGGAAATGGGGTCGACTTTTTAAGTTTTTTTTTTGCAGCTTATTAGTGGATTGCAAGCTTCATAACCTCTGACCCCTTTCAAAATTCAATTGTATTTAGTTCCGTCCATTGTTTTCTCGTTAAGGGCACACACCTTTTTGTACTTCGGGACATTAGGTTGCTTTTCATGGAATGGCAAGAAAGTGTCAAATTGAAGGGTCCACGAAAGCCACCGCCTGAACACATCTGCGGATATTTCACCATTACCATCATTAAGTATTGAATTCTGTTTAAGCCGGTGCTAGGGGGCGTTGACGGTAACCTACATTTTCCATTACCTCTCCATCAAACCGAGCCTGCAACATTTACAGTTTTGTCCTTGTGTGCGTCTTGTTAGGAATTCCTTATTTCTCTCTATAAAGAACAACAATTTAACACCGATATATCGACAATTGTCACGTGTTTCAAACTCATTATTTCTTTTTTTGCACAGGATACAAACCTTACATTTGTATTAGCACAGCATTTTAGTTTTTCTTAAGTTTCGTTAGCTTTAGGCTTTGTTGAAATTATATCAACTTAGTCTCGTTAACAAAATACTGTTTAATAGATATATTTGTTTCAAAATGACTGGATCAAGATTGTGTTAACGCTTTTTAAATACTATAAAATGTAAATTTAAACCTATATTGGCACAAAAGAAATTCAATTTTCCCATTTAAAAACAGTACAATGAAAAAACAAAAGTCCTTTGGTGTCAAACGCATGAAACATCTTTGCTATTTTAACTCTGAATACGTTCTTTACGGAAACCAATTTTGGACTTCATCGTCAAGGACGCCTGGCATTGTCGATGCATCTCGATTTAAATGCGGTAATAAAATAATGGCGTCAGTACCTTGCGTTTTCTAAATATTCGGATATGAATTTTGTATGCTATAAACTGTTCATTCATTAATTTTAGCATCAAGATCAAAAGTGAAATTCTATGCAGGTTTTCATGATACTTTAATGATTTCTATAAATACACATGTAATACCTAGAAAGCGCAACAATATTAAGAAAAAATATAAAAGTAAGCAACAGAAAAGGGTTTAGATTTAATTTACAAATTCAAATATCAAGGTGTCTATATTTGCCAAGAAGGGCATTGTCGTTTTCTAAGAGTTATATTTTTTTACAGGATATTCTAGATTAAAGGAATAGTTTTGGGCAAGATCTAACACGAAGCAAGTCAGATAAAGTGTGAAGTCGGAAATAGTATATCATATCAGTATATTATAACCTTTGTGACTTTATTCCTTTAATATCGACACTAAGTCAAAATTAAGACCACACCTGAGACAATTTTCGTTTCAAAGAAAATGTCATCACTTATGATTACGTTGATTTTGTTTAAATTTATGAAAAGTGATACAGATGAACATTTACACATTTCGGATTAAAACGCGTGCGATTGTATTATTTGTAACTTCTAATACGTTTGTAAACTCGAGATGAATCATTTATTGAAACCGACTTAAGTTAGTTCTGTAGTTTATCATAAGTCCAAGGACAAAGGATACACTTCAGACTTGATATGACATGCAGCCCAGAAGAACAAGCCACAGGATTACAATGCTACATCCTCTGCCTTCAACAAAGAGGAAAAAATACAGCAAGTTTTGCTTCACATATGAATCTTAAGGAGCATTGAAACTCAGGAGGTAAATACTATATATTTATGAGAGGGCGATTTATTGATATGTTGAATGCTATGTTGTTTCAATAAGAATTTATTTCGATGATAATCTGGTTATTTGCTAGGTAAATGGAAAAAATATCGTATGGATTAAATGAGCGTATTAATCAAATGGGTGTTAAATAAAAACTGCAACATGTCTGATTTGTTCCAGTACTGTATTTATCTATATTTTCTATTTATTCATCTATCAACACAATTCACAATCTGTAATGTATTTTGTAACTTGTAGCCTTGGTGTTCTACCCGGGGGGCGGCCTCCGAATTCCAACGATATGCTTGCTTGACAGTTGTGGATTTCTATAAGTGGTTATAGAAAAAGTTTGTTATTTTTGATATATAATTTTGGATTTTTATATTTTTATTGTTTTAAACGTCAATCAAGTAATCGTAAATGCATCTTTGGTTATGTTATTTGATGTAATGTAGTTCTGTTTGTACTATATGATTTACTTTACATTTTATTCTTTAGGGCTAGTCATTCTTTTGATCAAAATTATCTAATAAATCCAATATGATCTACTAATCGTGATCGTGAATGTTGTACCGAGCTTAAAGTGACATTATGCCCATCCAAGGGTATACAGTAAGTGAATAGGTTAAGATCAAAATATTTTTTTCATTTTGTCATAATCCCTTTTAATTTAATTATTAAGTTCACATAAAAATAGAAAACACACAGATCCAAATGGAATTTTCTGTAAATATCCGTTAGAATTAACGTATAACGCTTAGTTTATAAAAAGAGTGGGACAGTCTTTTAAAATTTTAGGTAGATTTATAATTTTATCCCAAACATTTTCCGATATCAACTGTTGGTCAAACACCATTTTGACAGTCAATCTTTAGAAATATAATGCAAATTAAGCTCAGCTTGTCTATGAAAATATGAGCACGATGTCGCTTTAAAACTCAAAATACAACCAGATATATCAATTAACTGCTTCTAACGTTTAGAGCTTATTCTGTTCAGCATTTTTCAATGACATTTTCTTCGGGGGTATGTAACCACTGTAGTTTCATTTAACATATAACTATTTCTTATATATTCATTACACCATTTCAAATTCAAATATGAAAACTGATGTGTTTACATCTGATATTTTCACATGATTTAAAATTTTTAAGGAGTCTAATTAAAAGATGAAAAATAAGAAATAAGAAATATATGTTTGATAAGAAAGTATCAATATTGTCTAGGAAACAATTATGTTTGTGTAATTTTCTTTTCTTAATGAAGGTCACATTTTCAAATAATCAGTTTTCCGTCTAAATTGTTTTCTAGTGAAGAAAGTCATTAAGTTATTCTACTACCTTTTACTTCCTCCTCCTCTTTCTTGTTCTTGCTCTTGACTTGGCTCTAAATTTCCTGATTGTTCTGATACGAAGTTGCACCCTGCATTATTATTACTATTTCCGAGGGCAAATACAATAAGACAAAATAATAGAACAGATTGTATGAGTTTTGGCATTTTTGTTTCTTTTTGCGCCTGCAAAAGAACATAAGCATGTTGATACATTTTCAGTTAGTAAATATAAGTAAGTAGAATATATGCCAAGTCTTAACCTGTATTTTAAAGTTAGCTTAGCATTTTATATATTTTCAATATTATCTGAATAAACTGAGTGTATCGTCGACTCTATAAATACTAACTGCAAATTTTACCAAATCTACATACAACTAAAATATGTTTCTACTTGATCACATTTGTTATGTAATGATAATAATGTAAATTCATTAAGTTTGTTAAGAATCCCTTAAGTGCGATGCTTTTGAAAGACAATCGTCCAGAAAACATGAAAGCCTTTAAAGTCCCATTATGCCCATACAACTGCAAATGGTGAGTGCAAAGGTAAAACTCATAATTATTTTACATTGTGCACCACCATAGTTGTGTTCATTTGTTTATTTACCTAATATGCAAACATAATAAATAAATAAAAAACAAGACATTATGAAAATTAAGGAATCGACAGCGTTCGATTCAAATTAAAGAATGAATAAAACAATCGGGTAGTCGTTGTATTATTTAGGCAGTTTTTATATTGTGTCATGAACATTTATTATTAACAATTATTGGTCGGTCACCATTTTGAAATATATTACTTATTCAACTGAGCTTGACAACAAATAAGTACGTCTGTCTCTCTAACTACGGCATGTGTGCTGTTTATAATATTTATAGTCAACCATCCCTGCATCTAGGACCGGTTAAAACAGGTCATTGAATATTTTCAAATTGTTTCAAGCTACATTAAAGAGTCGTTTGTCGTCAGAAGAGAGCAGAAATACACCATGTTAACTATAGAAAAAAAACGTAAATTAATGAGATATTTTTATTATTAGGTATTATTTTCAGTGTAATTCGTACTGAATGTTGTATTTAGTGAGCAGAAAGTGCTATCAGCTTGTGAGAATATTCAATGTAAATAACATTTCATGTATGGTCTGCATAATGACTTACAATTCATTCTTCTGGTATAAACGGTTTCAAAAACTGACAAAACAATAACATATGCTATTGTTTACCATGAGCAAAAAGTCCGAAACATGTCTGATATCAAACTTTATGAATCTGAGAAAAGTTTTGGCATTGAACCATTTCCACTCATTTTTCTTGCTTCAAATTCGTACAAAGATTATAGTTTATTTTATGTGAGAATGATTTCAAATTTGCATACGAAACATCAGTGGCAAATAAAATAGTTTTGGAAAAACAATGTCTTATCTTTGAGCAATATTACTGCTGAGATATATTGCAATATTGCACGAATTCATCTATTTATAATTTTACCAACTATTCATTTGCGAATCAAATTAACGACAAAATACTTAGAAGTGTAGCAAACGAAATGTGTTTTGTTAAAATAGCAGGTTATATGAAGATTCCATAATTGCGTGAAAACTGCTTATCTATATAAAGTTCTTACCAAAATATCAAAGAAAGTAGCAGATGATGCGTGTTGTTAAACCCGCTGTTAAGATCCGCGTTGATGTTGAATTGAACACAAAGTATGTAATTTTATAGATAAGTAAACGTAGCAGTGGGCACCTCTTGTACACCTACACCTACTGTACAAATATTCGAGGGTTGTTCTTGAAGTCAGCGGAAATGTGCTGAGGCATTTTTGTTAGAAATATCTAAAGGCTTAAGAGTTTGACAACTTATTTTGAAATCATATTTAATCAAATTAATACATTTGAATGAATTGATCGTTTGACATCTGTGTAGAATTGTGAACGGTTTCCCAGGATTATATGCGGTGTAAGTTATATGAGGTGTTTAACTTTGTGGAATTTTTGTGGAACTGTTAATGTGGCCCGAATGATCGTATGGTGTGACCTTTTTGGTTTTTATAGAATACTGTCGTCATTGACGGCAATGTTTTATTATCAAAACCTACTCAATACTAATGTCCCCCAATCAATATGTTACTACTTTGTTTGTTGAATAAAACATTTTTGTTTTAATAATATCGTCATATCAGCGTTGTTTGTGCAGTATGTATGCTGTAAAATGTCGCTGCGTAAAGTCAGTCATAAACGTCATATTCTCTTTTATGATTGCTCAACACAACTTTATCGTTCAGTTTGTGTAAGTTACATTTGTATTACATTTTGGACATTTATATTAAATATTTAGAAATTTGTCTTGTTGAGTGGTTTAAGTTTTCTTAAATTTATACTGTATATTAATTACTCTAAGAATATGATGCTGTTGATATTTTTTCGTATCTTCTTTTGATGGACAATTAGTAAAATGGACGATTTATTAAAACTGATCCCCATTTAAATTCCCTTGAATGTATTTAATCTAACTCATTTTTCTCTCGGTATAGACACATGGATTATTTTACTTGATTATCAAACGTGATATCCTAGAATGCGACGAAATGCCACAGGTTCTATGATATACCGCAAAAGGCATAGGCGGCCAATGTTTCCAATTCAACAATTTGTCATTTTATGTTTCGTACAATTTTGATATTGAAATCAGCTATATTAGGACCGATGATATGGAGGTTGGTCGGTAGCTTGCATTTAACACTATTGCCCATGAATAAACTGAAGCTGCAATAATGTCAAATTCACCGATTGGGCTTTCTTTAGAAATCCTGTTTTTCTCTCTCTCTCTCTCTCTTTTAGCTCGAATCCACAAACTTCTGAATCAGCCCTTGTACAGTCTTTGAAATGTCAAGCAGGTGGCACTTGAACGATTCACAATGGACAAAAATGTGCTATTCATGACAAAAACACTGAACTGACGCTTGCTAATCTATTCATTATTCTTTAACACCCAATTTAAATGGGATTTCAAATCAAAATAGACATTAACCAAACTCGGATCCATTTATCGAATAAATCATTCAGTTTTGTAGGCGGAAAAAGAAGACTGGGTTTTGATTAACAACAATTCTAGTCTCACAAAACATGCTGCTTGCGTCATTACCCCAGCAATAGCAAATGTGGTTAAGTGAATGGCTAATATAAAATATGTGTGTGGTTATAACCTTAATGTTGCCATAATTTTATTCTATTACTTTAGTTTTGTAGTACATTTTAAAGGAGACGGGCGAGTGCATGCCAAAAAATATGGTATGTGAAGTAGAAACACAGTTTTGACTTGATTTTTTATTGTATTGTTTACGCCTGAAAAAACAATCGGCGTCTGCTATGCACCTGGTCGTCAATCCATCCGTCTTCTTGTTAGGTTTCGTCTATAAGTAATCGTTCCGTTTTCGTGAATAAGCATGTTTCCCTGTTTTCAAAAGATTTTAAAACGTAGATTACAATAAACACGAAACAAAATTTTATGATTAAGATGTCCTTATATAAAAAACGCGATCTAGAAGGTTGTCTTTTACAACATTTTCTAAAAGACTCGTCTCGAGTTGTCAGTCCTGATGAGAGTATGCATTATCCATTAAATCCACATATAAACCACATTTCCCTACAAGCAAGCCAAGGGTGTATGAATGAAGAAACATGATATATTAGTTAAAATAGTTTGTCTTTGTCCCATTTTATTATATATCCGTAACAATTTCTCTTAATTTTACAAATTGTTTTATTTCGCCTTGTAATGGATATAAATTACGTTGAAAGCTATTGAAATATGATATGATATTTAAGAAAAATCATGATCAATTGCAGATAAAAAATATTTCCCAACTTAACATGAGTGTTAATATATTTATTGAGATATTTCATTCGAACAAATTTGTTGTAATATTTTCCTCTTAAAACAATTACTTTTAGCAAATTACAATCTATTTCTAGAAGTCATTACTCGACTGACGATGTATTATAAAGGAATTGCAGTTTTAAACTATAAATTATGTGAATTTACATTGACGACGATAAATTTCATGGGAATGTGATGCATTCTATCAACACTCCTACACATTGATTCATGTTGAAATTGTTTGTGTTTTGGAAACGATCAAATCCATTTAAAATGTATGGTAGAATGTCGTTACAAAATATATCATTTAAACAGAATATACTTTCCTTGATATTCACAACAGCGTTGCAATTTAATATCAATGTCAAATAATGGTGTTTAATTTAAAGCTGCTCAAAATCCGAGCATGAACGTGAACGTTAGCTTAAATATTATTATGAAAAAAAAAAAAAAAAAACATTAAAGAAAACATGACGTGTAAAATATATCCCTACATTGTTACATTTAAGCAGCACGCCTTTAGATTCATGCTAATTTTCATGAAAATTTGAAAATGTATTTAACAGTATAATATTGTGAAGTTGCCAAAAAATTGCAATTTACACATTATCAATGGCACTTACAACCCTTGCAAATTTCCATAAAGAGGTCAAAATATGCAAAAAAAGCCCTTACTGCGTTAGTAATGCAATGGAAATATAGTTATTAAATACCGAAAAATAGGTCATTAATCGCACATTACATGGGAATTATTACTTTTATCTCTATGTTTCTTAAAATCTCAATATTTTTCTCAAGTTTGATTTTCTTGAAATATTTTGATTCGCAGGAAGGCATGTAGCTTTAAACCAAGGAAGACTTGTCATATATTAGCGAACACTGTTCTTGAAATATGGTTAAGGGCAAAATACAACAGTCTAATGAAAAGTCAAATCTAATTTTATATTATAAGATAATAAAAGTAAGGAATAAATTTTTCTTTCAATCCATAACTGATAAGTGTTTGTCATGTGTACTTTTCGCCTTGTGCATTTGTTAAGTACATTTAAATACAATTAAATAACAATCACATACAGACTTTTTATATGTCAGACATTAGACTAGATTACTGGCTGCAAATAGTTTAGTAAACTGTTGCAAGCAGTTCTGGTGAAATGAACATCTGACAGGCACATTTCCTTCTTATCAACCTACTAATTGTATAGCAAGACCAAACATTATAAGATATTCGTGCACTTCAAAAAGAAAATAATAAGAAATACAACAATACTGGTTTAATTTATACACAATTCATTTTAGAAAGTTGTAAGCTACACAACCGCACAATACACTATATACAAACTTTTGTTCCGTTCCGTTTTTTTTTTCAATATGGTCATCTAAATATTAAACATTGAGAAAAAAAAGACTGTGACTTGGAAAATATTTTATTTGAAAATTGTAATTATATCAACAAAACGTACTATTAGATAAAATGTCAAATATTGAAAGGGATAAGTATATGGATGAAATTGTAATTATCATCGAAGTCAAACTTCCATCCCCGACCAAACTAAAAATAGGCATTAAATGAAAAGTACAAGGAATATGTTTATATGTTTAAATTTATTTAATATTTCTTTTACCTTTTTAAAGCTTGTCGGATTCCGCAAAAAACTATGTTAGAGACATAAGACAAAAATAGATTAATCAAATACATTTTAGTAAAATATTCGAAACATTATTTCTAACTCTTCTAAATAATCAAGAAAAACCTTTATTGTCAATAGAAAGTAAGCGAGAACGTATTCGACAATATATTTAACAAATTGCAATTTTACATTAATATTTGAAATAGATAAAAACAGAATCCCTAAAGAAAGCCCAACACGGCAAAATTGAAAATGTTGCAGGCTCGGTTTGATTGAGCCTGTTCATGGACGGTACTGTCAAGTGCATACTACCGTCCACGCCCCCTAGCACCGGCTTAAGCAGAATTCAACATTTATACGTGAAATAGTAAAATTTTGAATTTAGAAACATCCGCAGATGTGTTCATACGGCGGTTATCATGGAACCTTCAATGTGACACTTCCGTGCCATTCCATGAAAAGCGGCGTATGGTCCCCAAGTAATAAAAAATGTGTGTGCCCTAAACGAGAAAACAATGGGTGGAACTAAATAAAATGGAATTTTGAAAGGGGATCAGAGGTTATGAAGCCACCCAACTAGAAAATGCCGAAAAGTTGTAACTAAAAATACCACAAGCACAACAATAATGTCGTGCTGAACGATCTTCAAGGATCGAAAATATAACATCATTGATTAAATGTACGGGGAGACTTTTTACAGCCAACCTCACATTTATTCGAAGAGCAAATAAGTTTTAAGTGTGATTATTTTAAGCTGTCAATCAAACCATGTCTATTCATATAAGATGTTGCTTTTTAAAATAAATCCGTCTATTCTGATTAAAGATATAAAACAATGCATTAAAATTCGTTTTAAATATTTCTTATGTTTACAAAAGTTTTTTAAATGGCGAATGTTTTGTAAAATTATCAAATGCACTCGGTAGTCTATGGAGAGTGGGTAATTGGATCGAGGTCGCGCCTTTAATTGTCTCTCATGAACAGATACAATAAAACTGAGTCTGCAATCTTCATCTTAAAATTTTGTTTCCATTGCTGACAAGGGACCTCTCATTTTCTATGTTATTTTTTATCTTTGAAAGTGCAATATACGGCTAAAATTTCTCTTTTTTGTGAAGCAGAGATGCTCCGTCAATAATTCATCATTATATAAAATAAATGTTAATTTTACAAAAGCACCAAAGATAATTTTATTCATATGTAATTAAAATAACCTCTTCGATTAAGCTTACGATA